TACTGTGTTCTGCTTTCTATGCTGACAGAAGCGTTAGTGCCAAAACTTTCGATGCTGAAGTTTAACATCTTGTTGTACGCACTAATCTTTCAAAAACTTTGAAAAGGTACTACAAAAGAAGGGAGACTATCCTTCATGATCACGGATTTGGAAGACAGTGTAGTGTTGCCGCAATTGCGATTTGAAGCTGCGCTTTGTTAGCTAAGCCATCAAAGTATTATCCTTAGACTCCTGATCTTGAGGATAAAGGCGCATATGGTGACATAAAAAGTCTGTTGCACGTTGGAATAGAAAAGGCGAAAAGAATGAGAAATATATGTAGTGATAATCCCAGCAACTATGAGAACTTTAGAACATATTAGGGTTCAAGGACAACACTTATCACTCTGCAAAACAAAGTTTACGAACAACGAAAAAAAGGGAGCAAATATGGAGCTACGGGAAATCTCTCCTTCTAATCGGAAAAAAACTTTAAACACTCGTTCTCCTGGTAAAAGAAATGTTTTCCCCAAAAACTTAATAATCTCTCAGAATTTAATTAATCTTGATAACAGGATCACTTCAGCATCTGTTTAGGCCCAAATTCATAGAAGGAGCTCTTTTTTTTCCGGGACATCAAAGAGATCGTTGTGTGAGAATAGTGACTCTACGAAGGCGAATCCAAAATAAATTCTAGGAAATCAAAATAAGAGAAGTAAAAAACAGGTTTTTTCAACATAGAAGACTGGAAACGGGCACTAAAGAACACAAAATAAATCTTATTTGAGGGGAGCAGAGCAAAAGCAGGTGTAGCATGGTGTATGACGTTGGTCGTCTATACCTTCGTGAGTACGACAGTTGTCGCAACTACTCACTCACGCAATTCGCAATTCGATCAGATCGTTCGAGAAAATACCGTGTTGGGTGAACTCAATGCCTTACGCGTGATGACACCCGGTTGGTTATTTTTGAACGTAGACGTTTATGGGTGGATTTCCAGCTGCATTGTAGAGAATCATACACAGCTAACTTTGGTTCATCTTACCTATTTTGACATTGCGGAAATGATTGTACCCTCGTAAATTAAAAGCTGATGAAAAAAACTAACTATATTGCTTCAAAAACTTTTCAAGAGGAAGTGATAAAGATAAAGATATGGTATGAGGTAGAGGTATGAGATGTTGCATAACTCCCTAACCTCCTTCCCATCGCTCGT